ATATATATATATATATATATATATATATATATATATATATATATATATATATGGATCTTTGGTTTATATTGTATCAGTTGGTAGGTAATAAACTATTTAATAAATTAAATGGGGACAATGTATAGATTACAGCAGAATGCCCATTACGTCTCAATACAACCTTTGGATGTCTCTTCGATTACTTTATATGTGTGTAAATAATAAATATGATTTTATACATGTGCAGAACCTGACAATTCTATATTAATAAATATTATTAATTATATTAACAATGCTATTATAACAAATGCTATTTAACACACTTAAACTAACACAATCCCATTCAGAGTAGGGATTTGTGAAGTATTTGAAAGGGACACTTTGCAAACTATGACAATCCAAGCACTAAAGCAAGTTTGTTCTCCCAGACTTTTGTGGCTCCTCCAAAGGCTGTCCACAGACATCTGTGTCTGTTGTCCATGCATGCACACACACTTTGCCTTATGGCCATGAGGTCAGCCCTAACACACTTTGAAAATGGTTCTTTTCAGTGGTGGTATTCGACCGGTTCTGGAGAGCCGGTAGCGGCGATGAGCAGTGGAGACCGAACCGGTTCTCTTCGCTGCTCTGTGGTTGGCCTGCCCACCCGGACTCCCATACTCACTTTTATGGCCAAAATTCAAAGCGCAGCTGCTTTGCACGGTGCAGAATAGCGCCGCGCAGCAGCTGCTGCAGCAACTACCAGCATGCAGGCTTGCAGGAAGCAAGTTAGAACACCTCTGCGCTTGTGCAAGGTGCGTTTGGCCGTGTGTGCACGCAAAGTGTGTACATGCATGCAAAGCACGGCCACCAAGCCATGCCCACCCAACCGGTGGCAACTTTATTTGAATACCACCACTGGTTCTTTTCAAATGCTTTGCATAGCCCAAGTTTTCAACAATCTAATAATGCAGAACCATGGGCATAATGATTTCAAAACAAACGTTGCTTCCAGACATTATCATATAAATGATGCAAGACATTTGTCAGGGATATAAAAAGCTGCAGAACAAAAAGCATAAATAAAATGCTTTCATAAATGTCCTTGATTTAATTTAAGAACCAAACTATTGTGTGTATCATAATCATTACACCCAGTGTTTCTCAACAGTAACCGCTTTAAGATGCGTGGACTTCAATTCCCAGAATTCTCCAGCCAGCATTACAATTGCCATTGCCTTTAATTTCCCTTTCAAAAGAAAAGCCTCTAGATCAGCGTTACACATTGGCCACACCCACGCCCAGTTTACCAAAGGGGAAAATAGTCATAATATGTCATGTGACATTGCAAGTTTGACACCCCTGCTTTAGATTAACAATATAAAAATCAGTCTTATACTCACCAAATTGTCAGTAGATACAGGAGTATATAACTGGCTCTGGCACAAATATGCTCTACCCAAGAATTGGTTAACAGGAGCTTTTCCTTTAAAGTACATTTGTAGACAGTCATGGCTTATTTCAGGAAGACCCATCTAAAAGTAAACGTATTTCATTTTTTAAAAAAGAAGATCTAGTCAATATTAATAAACGGCATGCTATCCCCAGGAAAATGAACGCGCTGTTACCTGATATGCTTGTTCTGCACATAAGACATATAAGTCAAAAGAGAAACTCTCCAAGGAATCAAGGGCAGATTTTCCATCATGTGCTGATTTGATCAACTTGTAAGTACTTTTCAAAGCATCAACATCTTTTAAAAAAAAAATTAGATGAAAAGTATTTTTTAACATTTAGTCATATTGATAATGAAAATAATTTTGAGGAAGGCTAATTAGAAGCTTGAGGAATGAGCCTGAGAGAGAGTTAATATCGTGCTTGAGCCCCAGAAGCAATATTATGTTTTTTTATAAAAAAAAAAAACACCAATGAGTTTTTCTTCATTAACCTTTATTTCAAAGATTTCTTCTAGTAGCCTTCTAGGCAAGCCAGAGGATATCCAAACGCCACACAAAACACAGTAACAAGAACATTTGCTCTTTAACTGTTGCCAAGCAACTTTGAAGAGATGCTTATTTGAAGCATCATCAAAGAAAAGCACTCTTTGAAGCGTTTGCATAGCCTTAATCCGTTTACTCAATTCAACTGATTTTCAAGATTTGTACCACACATTGAAGCATAAACTAAAACTATCATCTGGGCCTACAAACTATACTGAACTAAGATGTGGTTGGCAAGCAACTGGTTAAATTGTATCATGCAAACAGAGACATATAGCATTATGCTTCATTAGTCTTGCCTAATTAAAAAAGACTGCTATAGACATCGATCTAGCGCAAAGGAGAATTTGTATGACCTTTGCATAGATTGAAAATAATTACTGGAAACAAATCTAACCTTTTCTGTCAAGTAGAAATGCGATTAAATGAGTTTTCCAAGAATGTTGACAGTTGGAAACAATGCTTTGCATGCAACGAAACTAAAAAATAATTTGTATATTCATTATGTAAATAGATATTCAATTGTCTATGACAAGCGATCCGCATCTTAACTTGTCAAATATTATCCTTACCTTCCACCTCCCCATATATCATAAATTTATATGGTGCAAAACATTATGAACTTGGACAAAAGAGTTTATGTAATGAAAGTCTACCTCAACTAAGAATAAATAAGTACCCGAATCTTACTTCTCTGGATCTTACTTCTCTGTAAACATGCTTCTGATTATAGGAAAATACCCCCTTTTTTAATGTCTGGAAGAAAACTTTAACAGTCTACTACACAATAAATACTAAAAAAAATTACTTTGTTGTTTCTCAGCATCTGACAGTTGCTGCCTAATCAATATCTCCATGTCTTTTCAGCTATTTTTTTCAGACTTTGTTCAGAACCTGCTGGAAGAAAAACAACAACAATCCAGGATGAAAAGCAAAACAATACTTTAGGTTCTTTTACCAGCCATTTTGCAAGACTATTTGGGATTTTGATCTGCACTAACTGAGATCTGGCTGTATTTTCGAGTAATTATATATAGTTCCAATACAAGAGAATATATATGTGTAACTCAGGGTTGAACTGTGGAGTTGTTGGGGCTCTCTGAGCTTATTTTCTTTCTTGCAGATGTTTCATTACCCAATGAAGTAACATCCACAGTGAGTGTGGGGTTTTCTCTCTGCCTATATACAATCAGTGTTACACACTCACTTGTACTGAGGATGTTACTTAGTTGGATAATGAAACACCTGCAAGGAAAACAACTAAGCTCAGAGAGCACCAACAACTCCACAGTTCAACTCGTGAGTTATCTCCTTGGTAGTTCCTCAATCCTCAGTATTTGTTCCTTAATTAGCATAGTCTCTTCTGCTTAATTGTTTGCCTGATGTTAATCTCTACTTATTGGGTATTGACTTCTAGTGAGAAGGTGCTCTGGTCTTTTTGTTTTCTCCTTAGCTTTTTTTTTTATTATCTACTTTGAATGCTGTCTAAAATCTGGTTTAGGTCTGCCTATGGTTGGCTGCTAACGATGTTAGCAGGATGAGAAGTATGCCATCCAGTGGCAAATCTATTTATTTATTTATTTATTTATTTAGTCAAGTGATTATAAGATAACAGGTATAAGTATATAGTTATGAATACATGCAATGGATACATGTAAGAAAAGAAACAACAGAACAGGGACGGTAGGCACGTTGTTGCGCTTATGCATGCCCCCTACAGACCTCTTAGGAAAGGGGTGAAGTCAATAATAGACTGTCTAAAATTAAAGTTTTACTATCTATCTATCTATCTATCTATCTATCTATCTATCTATCTATCTATCTAGATATCTATCTATCTAGATATCTATCTAGATATGTATGTATATATATGTGTGTGTGTGTGTGTGTATTATATTAATTATATTATATTAATTATATTATATTATATTATTATATTATATTTTTATGATTTATATTTATATGATGATTTATCTATAACAACATTTTGCAAAGTACGACTCATACCATCAAGCATTCAGGTTTGTTGCTTGGAGCTTATTTGAGCAGTTAGATCTGCGTGCGTGCGTGTGTGCACGTGCACCCATCCCTACAGACGCACAGAGGTTACCTGCTGGGATTACTCATCAGCTCTGCTGCCGCTCTCCTCGGCGTCTTCTTCAGTCCTACCAGCCCCCGACGGCCAGTTCAGCACCGTCTGCACTCGTTCCTGTGCCGGTACTATAAGCGGACCTGCCCCGACTTCGCTTCCGAGGCGCTCCGGGACGGGCTCTCCGCTACGCCGGGCGCAACTTCCAGCGCCGCGCGCCGCCGCGTCTCTCGGTCTCTTAGCAACGCGTCGCTTCCTAAGTGATTCATTCAGCCTGCTCGCTTCCCTACGGGATCCTTGAGAAGTCAGAATTCCTTCCCAAGCGAACGTTTCCCCCCCCCCTCCGCCCTTCCCCCGCCCCGATAGACGTAAATAACTGCAGAGATTTAGAGACTCTGCTTGTCGCTTTAAACCAGGGGCCTCCAGCCTTGGCCACTTTAAGCCTGGAGGACTTCAACTCCCAGAATTCCCCAGCCAGCTTTGCTTTAAGCTGTTACTTAAAATACTCGGGAAAGCTGAGAGAAAATAGAATTGAGACAAAAAAGTTAGAAGCAATTTTTTAGGGGTGGGTTAACTTATTCCTAAGAATGTTAGTAGCAGTCCGATCTAGTCGGGACCCTGTGAAAATGACTTAAGAAAGCTCTAAGCTAGTATTTCTTCGCTTCAACAACTTTTAAGTTGTGTGAACTTCAAAGCCCAGAATTCCCTAGCCAGCCTGCTTTTGTGGTTCATAAGCATTGCTTTACTGCAGGCAAGGATGGCGAACGATGGCCCCTTTAGGGTTTGTGGACTTCAACTCCCAGAATTCCATGGCTGGTTTGGGAATTCTGGGAGTTGAAGTCTACAAGTCATTAAGAAGCCAAAGTTCCCCACCACCAAGAATCTATTCAATGTCAATATTCTGTGTGAGAGGATAAGAGACAGATAAAGATGGTTGCCAATAATTGTGAAATCGTTCTTACACCGTTATTGCAGTCTGGGATTTTGCTAAGGGAAAGAGAATGGCATACAAGAATCTTACACAATGCAGACGGACGGTATAGTCCAATGTCAATATAGGGTATAGTTTCCTACTAAAAAATCTCTCTTACAATCTTTTGAAGCAGATTTATTGATTAAAAGACTCTATTGAGCTCTTCTTCATGGGCAGAGGCACTGGTGCACTGGAGTATTCCTATCATGGAATGCAGATTATCTTTATGAAAGGTTTATAAGCAGTGGTGGTATTCAGCAGGTTCTGACCAGTTCTGGAGAATCAGTAGTGGAAATTTTGAGTAGTTTGGAGAACCGGCAAATATCATCTCTGACTGGAGCTTTTACAGTAGCCTTCCCCTACCAAGCCCACCAAGCCACACCCACCAAGCCACACCCACAGAACCTGTAGTAAAAAAATTTGAATCCCACCACTGGTTATAAGGGTCGGGATAGCCCTCTTATCAGGTCCACAAAACAGGCAATCTGCCTTTTGATTTAAATGAGGCTTGTGTTCTATATGCATATTTATAATCCAACAAATATTACAAAAAATAAAATATGCCTAATGTTTTACTCCTCAGAGAACGAAAACCAGAATAGCTTGACTCTTGGCCATATGGCCATAATCAAGATTGGATTTTGATTTTCAGTTGCTTGGTTTCTGGAACTTTTTTTTCTTGGAGAATTGGAGAATGAGAGGAATAAGTCGTCTAAAAGATGAAATCATGACTTTATAAAGAAGCAGATTTTCTTTATGCAAGGGCTATTTACATAAGAATTTATTCCATTAAAAATGAGAATGATAATTTGATACGTTCATGGTTAATAACCTTTTATACACTAGTGACTTTCAGTAATACTACTCAGTTATCACTGAAATGGTATACCTGCCCTCATTATTATTATTTTGGCACAGTAGTTTGAGGACCAGGAAAGAAGCCAAAGTTCATTAGTTGGGAAATGAGCATTGCAATAGCTAAATCCTACATCAAAGATTATCCATTTGAATAACTTTAGTAATAGAGAGAGAAAAGAAAGAGAGACTTTAATCTTAAATTTTGTCTGTTATCATTCAATCTTAGAGCTATTGTTTGATATGTCTTTTTTATGTGGCAGTAGTATGCAGGTTTCTTTTACTACAAAAAGCAAACCTTAAAGTGAAGCATAGTTTACTACCAAGCATCCTTTACAGTAAATACAGTATTATCAGATTTCAAGAGCTGTTAACAGTTGATGATGATAGCTTTGTATGGATGAGAGAATCATGCAGATGTTAATCTGCATTGACATGCATCCTTGCCTTCCATCCTTTCTTTATGATAAAATTATTGGAGATGAAGGCACTGCCACCAGCAACTATGGCTTTGGGCTATGGTTCCTTGTAATTGCATCAAACATCAGGTTCTTATCTATCAGTGGAGTCAACTGGTTGTGAATGGTTATCCTTTAAGATGAAAAGCCTTAATATAGCTGATCTCTTTTCAGTATACTTACCCAAGCATGTTTTAGAGAAGGAAAATATTTCACAGATGAACCGTACCAAATGAAAACTCTATCAGAGATAACTGGGATATTGCCAAACACTACTGCCAGTGTTTAATTCCATCATTCAAAGACAATGCAAACAGAAATGTGTATGTGTGCAGTGTTGCAGAAGCAACCACCCTCTTCTAAAGTTTAAAAATGTGACCCCTCCATTAGAAACAAAAGTCCCCCAAGAATGAGAAGAAATCCTTTGTAAGAACAAAAAAAAAATTCTGCTACCTCTCCTGAATCGCTCATTGATGGCTTCCCTCCGTGCTATTCCTAGCCACACCCAAACTTTTGCAAGCCCTAAAATGTTATAACTAAGAGAGTCTGGGAAGCAAGCGGGGGTTGACTGGAGACTTCTGTAAGAAGGAAAGGGGCAATATTTGAGGGGAAGGTGGAAGGAAAGAGACTCACCCCAGGGCAATCACCACCTAATCCCTGAACCAAGTCCTGCTTTTTGCTAGAAGAAAGGGCACCTACTCAAGTAGAATACAGAGTCCTCCCAGATGTGAGCAGTTTGAAAATCATTGGCAAGTGCAGGAGACTGTAAGAAAGTGTTGCTGTGAAGTGTGGGAGACTCTGTAGGGGAGTCTGTTCGGGGGCAGAGGTGGGGGCTGGGGTGGGATGGGTGGTGGGGAGTGGCAGAGGCCAGACATATCCCATTTTCACACACACCACTGTCACCCTCAAACGGCCCAAACACTGGTGTCACCCCTGAATGGCCTGAATTCTGAACGGTGTGGAACTCCAGTGTCAGCAGTGACAGCAAATGGAGGGAAAATGGGAAGATCCCAGACATCACCGCCATTCTGCATTCTGTCCACCTGCTCACTTGCCTGCCTGGCTCTCCCTCTGGCTTCCTGCAGCAAGTTGTCCCTATGGCGAATTGGCCATGCTGAGTTGTCCTACAATGGTGGTGGCTGTGAGTCGACAGAGGCAACTTGGCAGTGGCAAGCTGGCCATGGCGAGTTGTCCTACTTCCTGGGTGTCAACTCATAAAATATTTCTATGGTCTTTTTAGAGTTGCCAACAGAAAGAGAGGGGGGAGCAGTGCAACAACTTGCAAAACCGAAACTGCATTCCATAAATGTTTTCAAAGATAGCAACTAAGTGACTGAAGTTTTTGCTATGCAAAATTCTAACTGGAGAGCATGATTGATGACTCTTGGCTATGGATGTGTCCCATTGGAGAATATGAATTACGATATACTCAGGGGGTGGGGAGAAAACCAAGGTCAAGGGTGACAATGAATTATGTGTCTC